GATTGGTAGTTTGCATTCGCAAAGTTGACATGAAGGCCGTACAACGCTCCTGTTCCGACATCAAACGGAAGATTCGCCGAACATCCGATTACGGACCGTTTTCAAATGTTCACTAATTTTTTTTCAACAATGGACAATGTATCTTTAATTTCAATAAATCAGATCTTCTTCAAGTATGTTTGTCTTTTTTTGACAGCTTGAGAAAGAAATTCCAAAATTTTAGTGGCCACCCGTTATTTTTTGCAAGATATCCTAAACATCCCTGTTTATCCTTCTGTCTATTTCAATCTATTCTTTCCATCTCGTTCGCATGCCATAGCAGTGCTGCCAAGTCTCTTTTAAAATAAAATGCATATGAATGAGTATTGTTCACCCTGTTGGCAACCCTGAGCTTGCTGGTGCTTGAATCAAAAAATATTGTATATGCATTGCTGAGCATGATGACGTCACTCTATAGAGATTTCCACGTTCGGTTATATTGGTGCGATATCTGAGAGCGTGTTAGTGAAAACCCGAGGAAAATACATAACAAATCGCTGTCATACTGATTATTATCTAATCTAATATAAATAAGAAATCCTACACGCAGGCAAAAGAACGTAAGAATTCGATAAGAAACACTTATGAATTTTAGCCACAAGAAATCAGTATGAATTTCATTAATTTGCCTTATGAAAAATAATGTTGACAAAAAAATAATAAATCCGAGCAGACTGGAACCGAACCATGGACGTTGAGATTACGGAGCTCGTGTGTTGACCACTCGTCTTTCAACGCTTAAGAAAATGGGATGGCTAAAGGCGTATAAGAGCTGCGTTATGTTAGACGAACATTTTTTATAAGTCGCGCTTATGTAATTTATATTTGTCGTTCATAAGTCGAGTCTTATGAAACTCTTAAGCCTATTTGCCTCAGTGTAGGGAAAAAAAAATCATAGGAATGTTCGATAGGCTCAGGGAAACCTCATGGGAATGTTCGATTGGCATAGCCAAATTACTCAATACATTATCTCCGGTCATCTTTTCCTCTGAGGATTTCTTGGGTTGACCAACAGGTTGACGTATATGACAGATTGGATTGTGTGTGGCGCAGCTACAACATTTTTGCTCAGTTGACGAATAGGTTGAAAGTAGATCCGACATCCAGTCGAAGAATCAAGTTTACAACCAGGTTGAATTGACTGATCAGAGAAGCCGTCGAGACGAGTTTTCAGTTTACAAAGTTGACAGTGAGAACAATGAATTTCATAAATGTTGCGTTGAAGGCGTTGAGATAGAGATGCTCTTTGATTCTGGTTCAACTCACAATCTAATAGAAACATTTTTGCAGTGCGAGGTTCTATGCGGAGAGGTAGGTAGCTTTGCAACCGACAAACCGGCATGAATGACCATAGCAAAAACAATAAAATTTCTGATCAAAGCACACTGCTAACATCTGACTCCATGTTCGCGGGAAATATTTAGCTAAGTCATGAACCCGCATGCAAAAGTTATGAATTGGTTCGTGTCTGATCTATTCTGGACAAATTATTTTTATCTAGATAAAAATCCTATGGTTTTGACAGTTCGTTAGTTTTAGATAAATGGCTTCGGAAAAGTTTTTATATATTTCTTGAGGAAATTTATTTTAGATTCAAATTTGTTATCTAATGGTTCTCGTTTCATACTGGTTTAAAAAAGGTTACTTAGGGTGACTCCTAAAAATCTTTTTATTACAATAACTTTTTATACATTGATTTCTCGCAAATGATTTGATGTTGACATTTTGAGAACTTTTGATGGCGCATGTTTTTGCCATGTGGCTATCTCTTTCTGTTAGAAACAGAGGCGAACCAGACCCGGGCTGAAAGCTTGCGTAATAAAGAAAACCTAGCCTGATGATATATTTTGTTGTGAAGCCCACTTGGCCAGATGCCATATAGTGGAAAGAATACTTGACAAACAAACATCGTTACGTTGAATATTAAATGACTAATCATGAAAATCGATACATACATGACCAAAAATCATATGAAAGAACGAGCAGTGATGAAAAAAAGGAAAAATATTGATAATATGCAATCCTAACTTTCAGTTTCATTCGACCTTTTGTTTCTTTTTGAACCATTAAACCTTTTGTCCCCTGCTCATAATTTGACATTTTGAAACCCCTTCTCATCATTCTACCTTTTGTCCATTCGACCTCTTTTCCAACCGACCTTCTGACCCCCTTCTCATCATTAGATCTTTTGTCTATTCTAACTATTGTCCATTCCACCTTTTGTCCATTCGACCTTTTATATCTTCGACGTTTTGTCTTTCGATCATTTGTTATGCAACCATAAAAACTATGAGTGCCTTTTTTGTTTAATTTATTTGATTAACTTTTAAAATGTGCCTATTTTTTCAGAATAAACCTTTTGCGAGAAATCAATGTATAAGAGATTAATTTTAAAAATCTTATTTTCAGTAGGTATCTTAAGTTACTTATAAAAACCAGTATAAAAGGTGCACGGTTGGAGATAAAAATCTTTGTTCAGCAAACTTCTACACTAATTTTATAAGTAACTTAGGGTGACCCCGGAAAAATCAGATTTGCTGCTCCCTCGTTTAGAAGAAAAGTTATTAACGATTTTCGTGAGAAAAAAAACACTCTTTTTAAATGTTAATTAAATCACTAAACTCCAAATATATAAAAAATCTAAAGACTGACTAAAAGTAAATTGGTACACCCCTTGCGTGCCGCTAGCACGGCTCTAGAGTTGGGAATCGAACAACTTTTCAAGTGATTTGTTTACACATCTATATAGAGTGGTGCAAGTTTGATCAAAGTAGTCGATCGCGTTCAGAAATAACGTCAAATGAATTTCTAAAGAAAAAAAAACAAGGCAAGATCGAATTTGTCCCCAAGCTCCTCATTGCCCGGAATTTCGACCAATCGAAAAATACTGTCAAAGACATCCAGAAAATGCGGACAAAATGGAAGAAATGCGCTGATTCCATCCGTTTCCACTGTGCGGGCGCTGATGGGCGCCATCAAGAGGAAGGTTTGAGTTTTCGTTCGAACTGGCGAAATGTAACCATCTAATGCTGTAACTTAGAATTTTTAATAAAAATACTGTAAAGCAACCATTAATGGACTTTTTAAACTTATTGAATCACGAATTACATGTCTTTTTGTGTGTACCAATTTACTTTTAGTCAGCCTTTACTTGTTCCTTTTTGATATATCAACATTTGAAAATTAACTTTTCATCGAAGACCATTTATAACTTTTCCAGCGAATGAGATAGCCACCTTGTTTCATCAGCAAAACATGCGCCATCAAAAGTTTTCAAAAGTGTCTAGAACAAATCATTTGCGAGAAATCAATATTTAACAAGTTAATGTAAAAAACTCTAAGTTAATCTTTTAAAATCATTATGAAACGAGAACCTGACGTTACACTAAAAATATTTCCCAGATTTCACAGAAAATTTGTACCTTCAGGAAAGTTGCTCCAAATATTTATTTTTTTATTTTTTAGAGCATTGCGCTGGTTTATCTCAAATAACTTCAAAGTTTATATTTTGACCTTAATAACCGTAGGGACCACCCTAATTTCCCTTGCATAAAAATGGCAAAATCGAAACTTTTCCACATTTACTTAAAACAATTTTTATTTTCCTAAATGCGGCTTTGAGGCCATTGTTCAGTGAGGAGCTAGGGGTTTAAGTTGACCCACCCTAATATGCATATTTTCAAGTATTTTCACAAGAAATCAACGCAGCAAAACACAAACACTTGATTTTTTTCCGAAACAAGATTCCGAAAACGCCAAAAAGGAACAAGTAGAAAGTTGATTAACCAACGCTTTCAATGCATTCCTATTCTACATTCCTGGCTGATAGTATGTATCAATTAATGTTTGCATTGCTGACCTTTAATGGCCACAGTGCTTTGCAGATTATAATCCGAACGCGGTTGTTACCATCTTCTTCAGAGTAAATACGCCAGAAACAAATCATGGCATTATTATGCATCGAATGTGCTGATTTCCTGACGAAACATCTTTTCAGCTGATTTCCGGAGGACGTCTACGTGTCATTTTATGCAAAAATAAACATAGGCGGTGGTATCATAATTACACGACGGACTGACTGGTGGAAACTAATTTATGCGCAATACGAACTACGAACGACGACGACAGATGACTGTAATGATAGACACCTTAACATTGTAGAAAAGATACCTACGTCGCTGGTTTATTGAAAATTCGTTTGAATGAAGCGGATCAAGCGAAAGGAGCCAGAGGGAAACCTTGAAATATGTTGCTTTAATTATTCGCCTAGTTCGGGGAAATAACTATACGAACGTGACCCTATTCAACTTTTCCGCACAATGGCTCTAATTGAGCTCGCACTTTTCGCGCGCTAGATCTTGATTGTGGAACAACGTTTGCTATAGGAATGGTATAAACCAATATAAAGCAAATCGATCCCGGGGCCCACATCCGATACAGTCAGTTGCACAGGAAAGCGATGCGATGCTCGGGTCAATGAACCTGACACGGTGCTAGTCGGGTTTGTTTATTTGAAAACTAGAGGATCGTTTAATAGAGAATCGGCGCATCTATATTTAGCATCCAAATAGAGGTAAATTGTATTTGAAGCGGCAAATTTAGTGAAATTTGTTCCTAAGATGTTAGAATGCTATCAGTTATAGAACAAGGTGTTTTGACTTTCAAGTTCATTTAGGAGAAATATTGTGACAATCATAAATATTAAAATACATATTGAAAATGACCGTAATAGGCAATGAACCAACCAAAATATCCATTTGCATGGTCCAGATGACGCATTGCTCTAAGAAAAATTTAAGAACAGGAGTTTTTTTTATCGAGAGAGAGAGAGACATTAAGCCATTTCCCCTACCTAACAGCATGCATAATTTGGTAAAACGTCGAAATAGAAGCTTAATAGTATATTGAAAATTTATTTCATAATGAATCAATGAGGCGGAATTTCATTCCGCATTACTTACTTGTAATGGAGAGGTGACCAGCCGAAACTTCGCGAAATTATGTCCTGCTCGTCTTCTTCCTCCGAAAATAAGCCCTCGTTATCGCCTTTATCATCATCACTTCGGTCTCGTGTCATCGTACTGTGATGGATGTTCAGTCGAGGATCGTGGGAACATTTTTTCGACATACCATTCCCAACCATACCCGCACCATTACTACTCAATGAGTTGAAGATCGCTCCAGTATTGATTATTGAGGAATTTTCATTAGAATGCCCGTTATCGTGAGTACGTAATCTGCAAGAGAAATTGTTTTTAATAGAGTTATTTGTCACAAATCCGGACTAATATGCTCTCAAATGCATGATTATTGAACTGTGGCGTGGCTACTGTATTCGAGCTGAGAGATTGATTTGAGCGTGTTAAGGCGGAAACATGAAAAGCAACTCCTGCTGACAGAAACCCGTCAATCATTCGAGTCAATTCACGGCCAGCCAGATAGGGCGCTCGGCGCTCTCACCAGACGCCTTAAATATAATACACACACATCTGCGCCACATGAGTAAGTCAAATGTTAAACCGTTTGACACCACCGTCATGTATGTGCGATTGGTAACACTAGAGATGTCAAAAACTGCCATTCTCGAAAACATTTGTAGATTATTTAAATATGTTCTTCCGTAATTAACTTATCATTGTTGTATACTATTTTCTCTAAATGCTTGTAAATACACACACCCGGCCAGCTAATTGTCGGCTAATTTACATCATATCGTTCGAATTCGGCTTGGGCACGTCTGAAAAATTAAATACCGAGAAGCAGGTGTAGGAGGTTGGCAAAGAAATACAAACAAGCTAAACATTTGACTTACTCACGCTCGCTCAATGTTGAATGAATGGAATTCGCCGACGAGGGGATCGTAAAAATAGATAGTTACTCACCGGGGTTGATTAATCAATAGCACCAGCAGGACGATCGAAAGAAGTGTCAGTGCAGTGACAAGGAACAAGGTGAAGTACAAGCACCAACTCGGGACGTACTTTCCGCGGGGTGAATTGTTGATGATGTATTTCTGACCGTTTTTGCTTTTCAGCTGACCTCCTGAGTAGAACGGTGAGAACAAGTTTTTGTTTTTAATCATATGCGAAACAATTTGGGCCATAAACGATCAAGAAATGGAAGAAGCTGAACGAAAATAAAAAGCACAGTGAAAGAGCATTCAAATTTTTGGTATTATTAAGCGAAGTTTTGGTGATGATTCTTATTTTAAGAAGCGGTCCTTCTAAAACCAGTTTCTGATGCCTGGATGCGGTTGATCGACTTGCATTCATGCGTTAAAATATAATTTTTCAAATCACATGCTGCACAACGTAGAATCCTAGCTTTTGGAATCCAGCTTTAGAATCCTAGCATTGAGGACTTATACTCCCAACCGGGTGATGTAAGATTTGCTTACAATAATGAGGGATTCATCATCGCAGGATGTTAGTGGAGGACGCATGAACGGAAGAAGAGATATATCGAGCTCCGGTCCAATGCAAGAAAATGGAGACCGAAAAATGTGGAATGTACCTACTAGTCAGTAAAATGAATTATGTTGAAAAAAGAAAAGAAAAAAATTTGCCGACTGGACTTAAACCACGAACGTAGCGTTATTAGACCTGTGTTTTATTCACTTCTCTCCCATGCTTCGAAATATGGATAGGCTAATAGCGAATAAGGACTCGTACGATAACTCGATTTCGTATGCTTTTTCTACTGAACGGGAATTATAGAGAATCGTGGCAAGATAAAACATTATTGCATCGTCTACAAGGTCAACTTATATCATTCGCTGCGGTATTCGACGCGGAGGATGATAGGAAATGCAACTAATATTCAATGTAATACATTATTGTTTTGCGTGTAAGCACTAATAAAAGACTAAAACACATTGCCCAACTTTCCATCTGCTGTTTGATAGGAGCAGCATATCCATTCCTATTGCTCAATGAATAAGCTATCGATCAAGATCATCATTACTCCAGTAACGCCTGATAGATTACCTTTTCGTGGTTCGTTGCTGGAATTAAGGTCTACCACCGAAGCCTAGTCCGAACAACTTCAAACTAGGGGAACAGGACTGTTTTTGTAATTGAAGAAACACATCTAAGTACTTTTTACTTTTTATGCCTTGTTGATAGTGGCAAGACTCGGTTTTGCCCATCGAGGAAAAAAAAGGTAATTATTTTTTATCTGTGTGATTCCTAATCTATTATTCACTGTTCTCTAGTTTGAAGTGGTTAAAACTAGGATTCTGCTGCATGGTTATTATCGGTGCCATTGCTTGATTTTGTTGCGAAGGAATCCGTTTTTGGGTATAAAAAGCGGGGACCTTACAATTAGAGTCAGATCCTTGCGATAAAGGCAAGAATGACAACTGTATCAAAACCGAATACTTCATCATTTCTCGACAGTTGTTCGGAGAAAACTGATTTGTGCTACTCTTAAGATTCTTAGCAAAGGGAATTGTTTTAAATTTCTCAAATATCATGATGTTTACTGTATAGTTATTAACCACGAACTTCATTGAGAATTAGTGATAGTCGACAACAATTTTCATTTTCAACTTCTAACAGTACATATGTATGGAGATGTTGTTCCTGTAAAACACATTAATCCGATGAATAGGTTTTAGTGCTTCTATGGCCTATGCTAGGATTCTTAAACTAAGATTCTACACGCAAACCAAAAATTTATTACAATGAAGAATGCGACACAATGAGGAATGAGGAAAAGCAATGTATGTAAACCCCCTCCTTCTTCACAACAACCTCTCCCCCCCCTCAACAATAACCTGAAAAAGACATGGACTTTGACGATCACTTTTTCCGGGAAATAAATTTTAAACAAACCACAAATATTAGTAAAAACAGAAGTTTTTTCCCTTAATTTCTTCCCGCACCATAACTTTCAAATTTGAGAAAAAAGATTGCTTGAAAGACATATTTGATGATATTATGTTGATGAATTACACACCACAAGATCTGATCCCAACCTTTCCAAGGAAACCGTTCGTCGCTCTTCGAGAGGCTGAAGGCCAGCCAGGCGGTGTACCTCAGAATTTCGGGTCCTACACTGTTTAGGATCATCCCAAGGATCTTGTTCTGGAGTTTTTATGTGTTCCACACATTAATTGTTGCAACGTGATCAACAAATCAATATCCATGTGTCGTCCACATACGTAATATATGTACATATAAAAACCAGAAAACCATGCGTGACCACACATAATATTCATTTGCGTATAAATGTCATGTGTACTTCTGAGTGGATTCTGTTTATGTGTGGTCAAATGAAAATTATGTGGAATTTCACATTTATATATTTGTCAAGGAAAATGTTTAAATTGTTTTGAGTGAACCATAACCGAAACATTGATATACTTGAAAATTTTAAGATAAAGTATATTAGTCAAAAATGCATGAAAAACATCAATTCAGTGCCAACATTTCAAAGGGGCGTAATTGCATTTGTAAACAATGGCTTTACCCGTTGATTTCTCGCGAATAAAAGGTCACTCGTAAAAAATAATGACACCAACAGGTAGAGGAATGTTTCCTCTACTAGTTAGCATTGTTAATTTGGAGGGGCGAGCTTTTAGTTGCGAGAAATCGACGGCTAAAGCCATTGTTTACAAAAGCAATTACGCCCCTTTGAAATGTTGGCACTAAATTTTGTGTGGTTCTACGTCATACTGCGGTCGTGTCTAGGATACAACCCTTTAATTTTTTTTTATCTATGTGATTCCTAATCTTTGCATGCACGTAACCTATAGCTCATACCGTAGTAGGCTGTGTATAAAAGAAAATGATTTACTTAGTTTGACAGTTACACCATGACGAAGTGGCAGCGTATTCGTGATTTGTCCCACGCGCAAATGTCGCAAAAAGACATTTCAATCGCCGTGGGAGTGTCTCGGTGGACAGTCAAAAGGGTTTTAGACCGAGAAAATAAAGGACAACTATCCGCGAAGGTGTCCACAGGTCGTCCGAGGTCAGCTCGGGTTCCGAGGGTTATCGCTGCTATCAAAAGGAAGATTCGGGTTAATCCAGTGCGTTCAATAAGGAAAATGGCAAATGAACACGGGATCAGTGACTTTACGGCACGGAAGATCGTAAAAGAGATTGCGGGGCGAAGTCGAGGGCACGGAAAAAAACTTATATGATTACCAACCGCATCTGGGAGCTACAAATCGAACGATGCAAGAAAATCTTGAAGCGAAAAAATCCGGTAATTCTGTTCACCGACGAGGGCAAGTTTTGCCGTCGATCCCGTATCAAATTCCAGAACCGACTGGTATATTAGCTCTCTTCCGGTAAAAGGCGTGGCCGACGAGCACAAGAACGTGTATCTGACCAAGCATCCTGCTAGCGTTATGGTGTTTGGATTGGTGGCTTCCGATCGCAAAAAAATGGACCCGGTGTTCATTCCAGAAGGCGACAAGGTCAACACGGAGGTCTACATCGGGATTTTAAGTAAGTATGTTCTTCCGTGGATCAAAGAACAGTACGGTTCAAAGCCAAATGTTGTATTTCAACAAGATGGGGCTCCGTGCCACACCTCGAACCGCACTCAGAAGTGGTTGCAGGAACATCTTCCGTTCTGGGCGAAGGATATGTGGCCGCCATCCAGCCCCGATCTTAATCCGCTGGATTACTCAATATGGCGCGTCATGAAGGCCAAGGCCTGTTCTAAACGCCACCCCAGTACAGCGCCTCAGACAAACATTGACTCGTATCTGGAGAGAAATGGATCCAGACTACATTATTAGAACCTGCCGTGCATTCCGGAAGCGTGTGGAGGCCGTAATTGCAGCAAGTGGAAACTCGATTGATGATTAACATAGTTTAAGACTCTGAAAAACATCCCCCTTTGAATAAATAAAAAAAAAACTCGAAAACGAAATCTTTTTTTTAAATTTTGACATTGCTTAATGGTGCAAACATTAACACGCATACGGTAGTTGTGAACCACGAACTTCATTGAAAATTAGTGATAATCGACAACAATTTTCATTTTCAACTTCAAACAGTACATAGGTATGGAGATGTTGTTCCTATAACACACATTAATCCGAGGTTTTAGTGCTTCTATGGCCTATGCAAGGATTCTTAAACTAGGATTCTACATGGTTGCAGTAACAGTGGATTTTATCACAAATGTTTACGAGCTGCACAGTACAGTAAGATTTCGATTTTGGTGATTTCGTTTTTATTTATTATAATTACTTTAACACTTCTGGTAATGAGTTTTAAACTCGTGACATTGGTATGGATTCACATCCACAGTATTATTTATACGTACATCGTTAGATCTTCCTTCCAAATGCTTGCAAACATAAGAAATAGACAGCGTTGTGTATTTTTCGATTTAAGATCTCGTTGTCGTGTTGCCAAAATCAAGATTCCACTGTATTTTGTATCATTACTTTATGCAGCGGACAGCAGACGCTCGCGTCCGATTTCTGCAACTATACATATTACTTCATGGCATATAGACGGTTGCCAAATGTTCAAACAGGATTTGCATGTGCGACGTAAGTCGGGTGAACGTGTCTCGTGGTAAATGTATGAATCATGTGACCCATGGTGTGACAGAATCACCACCGGGTGATTAATTCAAGGCATTCAGGTTCGCGGCGCGAATCTTCCTACGCAAAGCAGTATCGTTCGTTCATAACATGTAGGTACCGACGCAACGCAGTCAGATATTCTACCTTCAATAATCACGAGCTGCGAGAGAGAGAGAGAGAGAGAGAGAGTATCAGACGGGAGAATGAGAGAGCCTAGCTACTACCACCTTATGTGTTGTTATCAGTGAATACGAAAGCCTATCAAAAGAAGGAGAATTCGTGAATCGTGAGTGAGCATATTACAATGCAGTAGCGTAGTATTACGAGTTATTCAGTATTAGGTATGCAACAAACGACTCATTCATAAATCCTGCCGACCCCAGTAGGAGAAACCAGACGCTCGTCTATATGAAGGTTTGCAGAGTCGCCCACTACATAACGATGATAATCAATTACGGTTTCTATCTCGTTTTAGTTAGGTCAGAAC